GTAACTCCTATGTTAACTTAATAGTCACTCAAACTTAGTATGGAGCCTAAAAGGTATGAGTCGTCCACTTGTTTTTAATAAACAAAGGCTCTCAACCAATACTCTTGCTAGGTTAACAAATTACGAGTTAAAAGCCAACATTGGCAATAAAGGGAAACAACCGGTACCCGCCGCTTGTTTTCCTACTTAATTCCTTGGCGACTAGGTAATTCTATTTACTTGGCCAGACAAATTGAATAAAGAGTTCGAATACCGATTGAATAAATGGCCGACTGATCATCTATCCTGGAAACAGACAACCAGTCGTCCAGGGGCATAGGCGGCATACTTACTATTCGTACCTGTCTTAACGTTCGGCCATACACAACAGTCGGTCTAGTGAACAAATTAAAAATACTTAGACAAATTTGAACCAAAACAAAAATTTGATAAATGAGCCGACCATTAAAGACCAGCAGAATATTCAAAACCCCGGCCCCCTGGCCGGGTAATTACAAAGCAAACGGCACGCAGGCCGTGAAAAGAAAAAATACTAAAAGCTTAAGTAGGGGGCAGTTCAGTATCAGCAGCTGCCGCCTGGTCAGCACTCTTCTTGCTGGACTCGGCTTTAGCTGCACCCTCTTTTGATGCCTTACCCCCAAGTGGCACAAGCGCCACAACCGGCTCTTCCTCCTCCAACGCACCGTCCAACGCCTCTTCTTCAACAGCCGCCAGGATCTGTTGATTATATATTTCCGAACACTGGCGGTACGTTCTTTCCCATGAGGCAAAGTCGGCACTGGGGAACAGTCGTTCCCAGGTCATGCGCTGGATTTGAGCGGAGTCTTCCACCATCTCCCGGACGAGCTCTTGTTTCTCTTGCTCGGCCTTATCCGAGAGCTCTTGGGTAAGACTCTTCTCTTGGTTCACCAGGCGTTCTTTTACGTTGGCCAAAGATTTCTCCATGGCTTCGTAAGAGTGCATTTTTTGGCGAAGAGGTTTCAGCTCGGCCTTAAGGTTGGTGACGGTCGCCTCCAGCTCGTCAACCTTCTTTTGGGCCGCCTCTAACTGAGCCCGAACAGCGGCGGTAGCCTGCGCCTGATAATAAAGAAGATCAATGGTCAGTACTTCATTTTGGGCAATTTGAAACATTGCCTTATCACAGCTGGAGGCGGCCATAGCTTTTGCGGCCTTTACCTCTTTGTTTTTCCGATCAATCGGCTTGCGAAGGTTGTTGACTCGGAGCAGGGCCTAAGTACAAAGAAAAACAGGCGTCAGTTTCCAAACAAAAAAGTTAACAGGCGTCCTGGAACTCAAAAGCTCAAAAATATGCTAAGTATACCTCAGCTAGGACCCCTGAAATCCCATCAAGGTCAAGGGTGCCGGCACCCCTGACCGCCTCCCTGTCAGATGGAGGAACCACTTTAACCATAGACTTGGCTACCTCAACCAAGTCAAGTCCCTGGGGGCCGGCTGCATTAAGCGAAAGAAAAAAAAAAAAAAAAAAAAAAAAAACAAGTTAGACCTAGTCAAGAAGGAAGCAAGGGTGAGTTTTTACAAGTGAGTGTCCATACATCTAGGCGGCCCCGCCTGGGTTTTTGAAGAAGTGGTCGGCTGCTTCTCAGCCGCCACTGTTTTCCTGGAAGACCCAGGAGAGCTTGCAACAGTCGTCCTCCGGGCCTTGGGGTCCGGCTGTTGCGAGGAAGAAGCCCTTGGAGTGCCAGACTGAAAACAAAAAGAGTTAGTATATGCATAAGACAACTAAAAGAGGAAGAGTTTTCGAAGCTTACCAAGGGTGCCTCCTTGTTAGGGGAGTCGGCATACGACTGTTTCATGAGCGAGGCCCGCAATATGGTCGCTGCAGTCTTGGATGCTGTTATTTTACTCATGGCGTCAGCTGCAAGAAATAAACAGCAAAGTTAGTAAAAATCCCAAGTAAACAAGGCGTGAAAAAACAGAGTATTTGTCAGGCCGGCTACCTCTAGAGCACCGACTGCTGAGGCCACAGGCGGCCAAAAAGTACTCGTCATAGAGCCACTTGAAGCTCGGGACGCAGTTTAGGGGTACTTGCTCTCGTACCCCTGAAGTAGAGTTCACCCTAGTCTCTACTTTGAAGAGTCCTTTGTCTAGGATCTCTTTTTAGCCTTTGGGGGAACAGGCGGCATGCTGCGGCCGCCTGCGAGAAGAGGCGGATCCCTATTCCACTTGTTAAAACGTTTGTTCAGCTCCGTGTCTGAACCCTCGATAATAAGGAAGGTGTTCCGCCAATCCTTCCATTTGTTCGCCTTACCTCTCGTCATGAGGTAACCCCTATGGCTTGTTAATTGATACCAGCCGGTACCTCCCGACTTAGGGGTCCGGCTGAGATAGTTCATGTGGGCGAAAGCCTCAAAGCTTGGCTCCACCCCGTTCATTTCGCACCCGGCCACATAGCCGAGTACGTTTACCCAAGAGTTGGGGGCTAACTGCCATAACCCCAGATCATACCCATCTAAAATCCGCTGAACAGGCGGATGTAATGGGAAGCGCAGTCCAGCTTTGATGGCCGCCACATAGCAGCCAAAGCAGCCGTCACCATAGCTGGTACCAGCCGGCCAGACGACAGTGTCTTCTGGATCCGGCACGAACAGTAAAAATTCCGGGCCCATTTTGTGGTTAGCAATAAAGCTCGCCACGTTGTCTTGCATGGTTGCGATCCGGCCCCGGGGTACCCTGCAGTAGTAGGGGGCGTTTTCCTCTCTGTAAGAGGCGGACGGCTCCGCCCAATTGTCCCCCTTCTCAACTGCATGGGAACGTCTCGCCTCTTGTAGGCGGCTATGTTTTTCTTCTGAGCCAGGAGAACTGTGGCCAGAAGAGCTGGACTCGGACTCGTCCTCTGACGAGTCCGAAGAGGACGACTCCTCCCCTCTCCTAGAGGGGCCCGCCTCCTCTCCCTTAGAAGGAGCAGGAGGGAAATTAGACATGTCAACGGTAAGATGGGAAGGGACCACCTTGGCCCCTCTCTCAGAACTGTCGGCTTGACAGTCGCCTCGTTTCAATTCTACATCTGGCGCCTGGTCAGATGTTTCACTAAGGAGCACCCTTTGGGAGGAGCCGTCTGAGTTTGATATCATAGCAGTCTGTTTCGTTCTGGCCATCACGTTCTGCATAGACACAGATACAGTCGGACTTTGTATAAAGAGCAAAGATGGGTCCAGAAAAGGGCAGGCGGCACTCCTAGTCCTAGATTCAGCCGTCCCCGGTGACCGGCTGATCACTAACTTAGGTCGTGTCGTGTGCTTCCGTGGTGCCATTTCAAAAAATAAAAAGAAAATTAAGAGTAAGAGAACTGAGTTACCTGAACGAGTGACGGTTGATGAAGTCCTGGAAGTTCGGGTCAGTCGGCTTGTCAGAACAGGCGGTAGGCAGAAAAGGTCCGAAATGTCAGAGCAAGTTCAGGGGTCCGAATGTTCTCGCAAAGTTCTCAAATGTGAAAATGACCGAAGTCAGCACTTCCTTATATAGGCAAAGTGAGAAGGCGAAGGGTCGCTTCCAAATTCAAAATTTGGGCGGGAAAATCTCTCGGCCGTTTGCAAGATGACACCTGTAACAGGCCGTCGCCTGTCACCGTGCGACACCTGTCACAGGCGACACGTGACCAGTCACGTGCCACCTGTGAGGGGCAAATGATTAGGGGATTTTTATCCACCAATCATCGTCTGACAAGTGGACCAACCAGGTTCCGCCACGTGTCCTTCACGAAGGCCAACAGGAGCCTGCCACGTGTCAATCACAGATACGTCCTCTACGGACCAATTTAGACACGCCACGTGTCCACCCATGCCAAATGGGAAAACCGGCCATCAAGGCCCAATTCAGTCTAGAGGCCCGATCAGCCCTAGGTTTACCTTAAACCTAGAGAGTGGCACGCTTCTCAAGGCTATAAATACTCAATTAATCCTCATTAATTAAGCAGTGAAAAAGTAATCAAGCAGAGAAGAACAGAGTTATTACGGAACATCAACAACCGGCTAATCTCGCTAACGACGCAGATTACCAATACTAAGCACTCTCACCTAGAGAGATCTCATTACTTTAATTTCTGTATTGATTACTCCTTAGTCAGGTACTAACTTGACCGTTGGAAGCGGAGCTCCCAGGAGTCTCCGTTATTTTGCAGGTACAGGCGTCCGGTTCCAGTCTCGGAATTGTAACTCTCCCGCAGGACATCAGAAAACCCCGAAACAAATATGATTTTATCAATTGACAACTTGCAATCGTCATAATTAAGGTCTCATTCTTGACAAATTTGCAAATAATTTATCAATTTAAATTTGTGTTATTAATCTTCTAACTACCATACAGACAAAGCTAAATGATGATCGACCTTTCTTAAGCAAATCAATGTCGGCATTGAAACCCCTTTTCAAAAAAAATGTTTTTAAGTCAATTTATAGCATAATATATAATATTATTTGTTATTAAGTAGGATCCTACGATCCTACGATCCGATTCTATCAATTCGATCCAACCCCCTCATCGATCCAAGGTAGGATCCCGATTCTAACAACCTTGGTCTGATCTGATCTAATTTTGATTAGAATAAATAACAAGTACAAAGTATTTAAACAATTATGAAAATTACATATTCGAAAAGCACATGATGAGACAAAACTAACAAAATCCAATTTGACAACGTGTTTTCTTGTAGATTATCAGTGTTACAATGTAGTTAAAATTAATACATCAGATTAGATTAGAACATATCAAAAAAATTCAGATCAAACTAACCAAACGATCAAAACTTTATTAAAATCTGATTAGTCTACTTTAGTTCAAGTGAAGAGAACTATACTCCGCGTTCATAATCATCCAATTTATGGAGAAATAATAAAGTTGTGAGACAAACTATCAATCAATATCAAAAACAAAAATATATAAGAGAAGAAAAAAAAAAAGAAAAAAGAAAAAAAAAAAAAAGAAAAAGACGGTTGGTGAGACTAAGGGGTTCAAATAATTTGTGTTGTGCGCAGGCCCAAATGTCGAAAAGTAAAGTGGGGTTGGTGAGTGACTGATATTTTTGTGCGCCTATAAACCACCTCCTTCTCTTAGATCTGAATCTGAGCTTCACTTCATTTCCCCATTACACTCCTATTCTCTTCATTCATTCTTCCTCTAAAAATGGCGTCTGAAGGTGTTTTGTTGGGCATGGGAAATCCTCTTTTGGATATCTCTGCTGTTGTCGACGATGAATTCTTGCAGAAGTAAGTCCTCGTCTTTTTTATCTGATTTCTTTGGATTCATGTTATTGATTTTTTTTATCTATTAATTTGTTGTATTTGATGAAATAATTTTTAATAGACTGTGTTAATTAATGTAATTTCATCTTATGTTTTTGTTTTTAAGATATTTGGATGGAAATTGTTGAAATAATTCTACATCTGAATAGTGTAATTTCATGATTGGGTTTTTATTTTTTTATTTTTATTTTTATTTTGATGATTTATGAAACGATCTATGAATATCGAATTTAATTATTTTTAAATGTTTTGTCGGTAGTTTTGTGAAATGGAGTATATTTATTGATTTGGTTGATTTTGATGCAGATATGACATCAAATTGAACAATGCCATTCTTGCTGAAGATAAACATGTGCCTATGTAAGTGAGCTACCTCTTATATAAGATGATTATAGATTGGAATTTCATTAAGCTACAATCTGTTGATATTTAAAAAGGTTGTATTTGATTTTATATTTAAGCATATAACATTGGAACTATTTCACTACTCGATGATCGTCGAGTAAATTCTATGTGTTTCGTCATAATGGTGGTTTCACTAGTGTATTTATCTTATTTAAGCAATCGGGTTTTCTCTTACTCGTTCGGGTTGGCTTTAAGCCCTTTTTAGGGATATATACATGAGTTTGATGATTATTTGTACTAAAAGTTGAAGCCCATTTCTAGGTATGGAGAGATGGATGAGAAATTCAAGGTGGAATTTATCGCTGGAGGTAATTTGCACTGTTATGCTAAATATGCCTTGTTTCAGAAAGGGTTGAGAAATATATTTGGAGCTAATGATGTTTGTGTTAATGGGTTATTGTTTGTTTTTGTGACAGGTGCTACCCAAAATTCGATCAGGGTTTGCCAGGTATAGCTCGGAATAAGTTTCATGATTGAAGTGGAGTATAGGTTTAATCTTTGTGTTATTAATGTACATCTGTTTCTTTCCTTTTTCAGTGGATGCTCCAAAAACCCGGTGCTACTAGCTACATTGGTTGCATTGGCAAAGACAAGTTTGGAGAAGTGATGAAGCGTGATGCGACAAGTGCTGGTGTTAATGTAATGTTTATATGTGCGCTGTTTTTTTTTTTTTTTTTTTTTTTTTTTTTTTTTTTTATTTTTATCTGTAAATTTAAATACATTGTATTGCCTTTCGTTGACGTGTATGCATTTTATTTAATCAGGTTCATTATTATGAGCATGAGTCTGTGCCTACTGGTACTTGTGCTGTTTGTATTGTTGGTGGTGAAAGGTAAGTCTTAATCTCTGGTTATCCACTTATCCTTTGTGACTTTTTTGTGATCCTAATTGCTGAAGTGCTTATTTTCTTATGATTGCCTATAATGGGTTGCTTAGGTGCTCTTTTGCATTCTCCATTTATTATTGAAATTTTGAATGCATCTCTTCCGTGCTTGCTCTAATCAAACCATTTTATTTTTTCTTTTAACTTAGTGGAATTTAATATCCCTCTCCATTCTTCATGCTTTCCTATATTCCGTATATATGTCCCTCTGGACTATATAACATGTCCCTTCACCATCAATCATTGCTTGTTTATAGGTAACATGTCCTTTACCAACAATTAATGCTTGTTTTTGGGTACCTTAATTAAAGTTCAATGACAAAAAAGACATGAAGTAGCTCTAGTGCGCATGTAACTACCCATATTAGTCCTTGGAAGTTTGGAAAGATCTAACAAGGGGGAGACATCACATTTCCTCTTTATACCTAAACAAACCTTGGGTAGCCTTGGAGGATTTTCGTTTTTGTTGTAAAGGTACAGACCTTCAAAGAATTCATCGAATGGGGGTGAAAATATTGTAAACCACTTTCGTTGTTTAAGATTTTTAATACCTACCCTAGAGATAACCATACGCTTAGCATGATTTCTTTTGTTCACAAAGATTGCTTTAGTTGTTGGAGATAAGCTAACTTTGGGGACATTGGGTTGGATATTTCCAAATGAACAAGCACATTTTTTTTTTTCAATTACAAGACCCATAACCTTACACCTTTCCAAGTTTGCTCTCTTTGCTAAAGGATCAAATGCAAGCCCAACTTGCTCTAGCTTTAGTCCTAGGACTTTCTATTTGAATGTCCAAGCTCCCTTGATTCTTATTTCCTAAAAAACCTTAGTTCCTAGCCCCACTCAGCTTTCTCTTTCTTCATTGATGTGTCTTCTTGTAGTGTTATCTCCACATTTGATGGCTCCCTAACTATCTCTTTGTTATTAGGGTCTAGTTCCCTTGCTTTCATGAAATCTCAATAATCTTCTTTCAAATCCCCCAATTAAGTTAAAGTGATCCCTCTTCTAAAATGAGCCTTCACAGTTCTACCACTAACCTCAAAATCAAACAAAGAATCAATGACCTGTTTGAAGTTGTGTAATTTTATGTGTGTAATTTTAATGCACAAGCAGCCAAATTCAATTGAAGGTAAATAGTTAGCTCCTTTAAAGTAGGATTATAAACCCAATCCTAAATTGAATCACATACTATTACAGCTATGGCAATGCAGATACACTTCATTGCTCTATTGTACTTAGAATAAGCTAGTGCTTGAAAAAGCGCGCCTCGGCACAAGGCGATCAGGGGTGATCGCTTAATTTGGTCTGGGTAAAGCATTTTGGGTTAGGCGCACTAAAAGCGCCCGAGGCGCACGTGAGGCGCACTTGAAGCAAACTTCAGCCAAAAAAATTTAACTGCCCATATACTGCGCCACACTTAGGCGCGCCTTAGGCGCACTTAGGCGCAGCAGAACCGTCTCGCTTCAGTCCGCCTTGAGCTTTTTTTATATATTGGCATAAGCATTGGTAAATCTTTCAATTTGAAAGAATGTCTTTATATAAGAATTAACTTTATCAAGTCCATCATTTTCATACAACTCTTCTCAAGTCCTCTGCCATTTTCTTATAACAAGGCTAGAAGACACTAAGGGGCCATTTGGTTGGGGGTAATAATCAAAGGGAAAGGGAATGGACAGGCCCAATTCCCTTTATTGATGTTTGTTTGTCACTTTCTATCATTCCCTTTACCCATTTTTATTTTGAGTTTACCCAAATATGTTCCACACTGATTCCCCACCCCCTCCCCCCCCTCCACCAGACTTTTCCATTCCCATTCCCCGCTTCATTACCCATCACTCTCTCTCTCCTCTCAAACCCTAAAAAAACCCAGTAGCCGCCACCTCTTACTAAAGCTCCGGCCACCATGGCAGCCACCGGAGTTTGTGCACTGGCGACGGTATTCGACCGCTTTTGACAAGGTACGTCCACCGGCAACGATCTCCGACAATCTTTCATCATGTGCTTGTTCTTGTTTTTCACGTTTTTCTACCTTAATCAACCTTTTTTTTTTTTGTTTTGTTCATTAATTGTTGGGGAAATTATACTTTATTCCTAATTTTTGTTAAATTGTGGTGAAAAATTGATACTCACTGTTCGTTTTCATGGGTTTTGTGGGGTTATTTTTTTTTTTTTTTTTTTTGGAATGACGTTGTTTATATATACTAATGTTCATGTATATATAAACCAATGTTCGTGTATATATTGGTTTCTTGAATGTACGAACAATAGGTACTAACAACAATTTTGTGTAAATTTTTTTACTTGATTTATGATTTTATATGTATATATTGGTTTAACTTGAGACTTTTATATATTTTGAGTATAAATAATATGTAAAATCATAATTTGATTCCCTGAACGAAACAGTCACAAAGGGAATCAATGAGCATTTAGTTCATTCCGTTTCCTGGACACAGCCAAACAACTAGACTAAATCAGGGGAATCCATTCCTTTCTCCTTCATTCCATTCCGATTCCCCTGTGTGAACCAAACGACCCCTAAATAACCTCAATCAATGCAAAACAATGAAAGACACAAGCTTAATTAGAAAAACAATGACAATGGCTGAAATAAAAGTAAGGAAAGAAGCTTAAACCACTTTAAACTTAATGATTGATTGGAAATTAGGGCTGAATATCTGTTGACAACCACCAATGAGCTTCCGAGTGTTCCTAATAGCAAATGTGTTTCTTTTTAAATCTTCTCACTTGTCATTTTTGTCCAATCTTATATCTTCTACCCAGTTAGCTTTTTACAATTTTAGGGTTACCCCTTTACCATTTACGTATATTATCCTCAAAATAATTACACTTCCACACTTTCTTACTTATATTCATCTTTGTCTTACGCTCACCCCACCTTTTCACACTTTCTTTCTTAATTTATCCTACTTTATCTTATGCCCACTAACATTTACAAAATTTTCTTAAGTTACATATTTATACTAACCGAGTAGGATATAAATGTTTGGAGGTAGTTCAAAGTTGTTGCTTAGAAATTCTTTTATTTGAAAAACTCAGTTTAGATAGTTTACATTTGGACCATCTTAGGGTGAGGTTTAATTAAACCGCAATGGCTCTTATGGTATGCACTTGTAGATTGAGGAAATAGTTGTGGTTTCTTGTTTAAATGTGCATGGGATTCCTCATGAGGATGTCCATAATGCATACAAACAATAGTATGTCCTTCCCTAAATTTAACACTTATCCAATTAGCCCTTCAGAGTTCCTAGAGTTGAACTTTTTATTCTTGAGTAAATGGAGAAAATTGTAGCATCACACGGCAAACTTTGGCTCTTCTAGGGTTTTTTAATTTTTTTTTTGCTTGCTAAGAAACGAGTCACTTATCTCGGCCAATGTGGTTTATTTGGTGCATCTAATTCAAAACATGTTTTTGAACCATCTATGTCATCTCCTTGATTGGATGATCTAGCTTTGGAAGTTGCAGTCAACCATCTTGAAGATTACTGGAATTCATGGTTATTGTACGTCTTTCAATTCATTGCATGTTCTAGTAATACAGTTCACTTGCTAATTCTAGACTGGAGTTGTATAGTTGTAGGACATTGATGGGGCTAGAATACTGTAGTGTGCAGTACATGTACATAAAAATTACTTGCTATGTTTCTATTTTTTATGATCAGTTGAAGGTGTGATAAAGGATATCTTTATCTAATTTAGTGCACTTAGCAATTGTTCCATTTGCTCCATTTCCAGAAATAGGTAAACACAAATTAAAATATGGTTACGATATCATGTCGTACCCATAAGTGACTTGGAGCGTTGGCCGTGTATCTTTATTAATGGATTTTAAATACATCATGTTAAAAGTTGGCTTCTTAAACCAGAATGCAATGCTAAAATTAATCTACGCAAAGGAGCATAAGCTATTAAGCTGATATAGATTGGTGTGTAACATAAAGACCTTTGAAGCTGATTATGAGATTTTTGTCAATGAGTTAGGCTCCATGCTGTAGAACTACATTAATTCTTGCTTTGATGTGCTTCGAATCTGTTTTATCAAGTTATGCCGACCTGGTGCTTGATTGTAAGGGCTGATGATCCATGGTTTTATGTTCAGGTCATTAGTTGCTAATTTATCTGCTGCCAACTGCTACAAGGTTGACCATTTGAAGAAACCTGAAAACTGGGCATTGGGTATATAAGCTTTCTACTTTTCCTGAAATATCAAAGTCCCTCTTCAATTTTCGATGATTTGAAAGTTGAACTAACTTGCATGTATGATTAAATTTGATAGTTGAGAAAGCCAAGTTCTACTACATTGCTGGGTTTTTTCTAACTGTATCTCCGGAATCCATTCAACTTGTGGCTGAACATGCTGCTGCAAATGACAAGGTAATTTTGGCTTCACATTTATTTTTCTGCTTGTTTTGAATGGCTTTTGAGTCTGACAGGTTACTGTTATACACTTGTGCTTTATGTGCAGATTTTCATGATGAACCTCTCTGCTCCATTTATCTGTGAATTCTTCAAGGATCCTCAGGAGAAGGCTTTGCCGTAAGTTTTAATCTTCCTGTTTGATTGTAGAATTTACCTCAGAAAGTATAAGCAGAGTATTGATAGAATTTGTTTCATGTGCTTCAGATACATGGATTATGTTTTCGGCAATGAAACAGAAGCAAGAGCCTTCTCAAAAGCTCACGGTTGGGAGGTAAGTGTGCTGTTTTTTTTTTGTTAAATAATATATTAGGCTTCAGTTGAAATTCATATATCTGATTAGTGCTCTTATTACAGACTGATAATGTGGAAGAGATTGCCATTAAGATCTCCCGGTGGCCCAAGGCATCAGGAACACACAAGAGAATCACTGTGATTACTCAGGGTGCTGATCCTGTTGTTATTGCCGAGGATGGCATAGTGAAGACATTCCCTGTACCAGTGTTGCCTAAAGAAAAATTGGTTGATACTAACGGAGCAGGTATGCTCTTGTATGCTGGATAGAATCGGCTTATTGTTACCTCTGCTTATTCATCATCATAGAATTTCACTCACTCACTTTCTCGTACAGGTGATGCTTTTGTTGGAGGATTTTTGTCTCAGTTGCTTCAGGGGAAACCTATTGAGGACTGTGTTAGGGCTGGTAATTATGCTGCAACTGTTATCATCCAAAGGTCAGGCTGCACATACCCAGAGAAGCCCGAGTTTAAGTGAAGGTTTTTAGTTCATGCCTACTCGCGTTAGAGTAGTTGTGATGAGTCATTTTATGCAAGTTTCTCATTTTTGAACCTTGGTCCTCCAAGTGTTATTGTTGCTCGGAGATCTAATTATTCAGTTTGTTTCCCCAGAAGCATTTGATTTTATAGATCAGTGTGATGCGGAATTATAATATGCTTGTGAGTGTATTAAGAATACTATTGGAAATGGATAATCAGCCAAAAATCTAGCAATCTTCCTGCATTATTAATCACAAAATTAGTATATTGTTACCTCTTGTTCCCAAAATTTGTCAATAATTTCAAGGAAAACACTCTCTTCAACAACAAAATCCCATTGATCAACCCACTTCATAGTGGGGGAATAAGTTAGATTAAATTCTATCATCTAATATAACTAAGATTAAAACAATCAATTTCATGGACTACAATTAATCTGATGACCAAACCAAAGTAAATTAAACACTCTAAAGTTTAACACCTTCTCTAATAAGTTCTTTGTAGACGACCATGGTAAAGTACATTTTCTCCATTGAATTGCTATGTGAGGTTCTTTGAGCTAAGAACACTGATGAGGAAATGTACTATCGTTGCTAAATTTCTACCAGAAAATCCTACCTTATCTCCTATAGTGAGTACGGTGATAAGGTGGGCCGAATTCCAAAAGGATGACGTCTACCAGAAAATCCTACCTTATCTCCTATAGTGAGTACGGTGATAAGTTGGGCCGAATTCCAAAAGGATGACGAGTAATGACACTACTCCATTCTTTGCTATCATAAAATCAAGTTTTTTAAAGAGAAAAAGGGATAAAAGTAAATTAAAGCCAATTACTCCGTATAAACTAAGATCATGTCTTCTTTAGTCTTTACCTAGTTTTTACTTAATTGAACTTTGTTTTGTTGAATTTGAAATATTTTTTATGATAAATTTCTACAAATTATTTATTATATATTTTTTTCTTTAAAGTTGCTGATTTTACTGACTTATGTTCATAGAACTAAACTTATTTTGCTTAACATTTTTTTGTTTTTTGGAAACCAGCATGGAACTTTATTATATTGAGAACCTATTGCGTGCGAACGTTCGCACGAATTAATTCGTGCGGACAGGCTTCTAAACAGAAGCCCAAAATGAGTGTGGGTTAAAGGTCCAATATTAACGGGCTTCGCGGGCCCGGTATAAATTATTAGGTTTTCACGCAAAATCGAAAACTAAGAAAAATATCGCGCAATTTCGAAATTTTGTAACGCAAAATCGAAAGAGAAGAAGAACAAGATCGCGTGATTTCAAAATTTACAATGGAAGAAGAAAATCGAACAGGTAAATCAATAAATTATCAAAATGAAGAACTTGATCAACAAAACGAATCAAATTATCAACATTTTGATTCAAATCACGAAAAAGAGAATTCAAATTCACCTAATTCATCTACAATCACCTTAGAAAATCCTGGTAATTCTATTTTTATTACTTTATAACTTTTTCGTCGATTTTTAAACAGTTAAAAATGATCTGAATATTTATGTGATATGTAATTTCTATTTTGTAATGCAGAAGAAAAAAAATCAAAATTAACACAAAAAATTATGATAAAGAAGCTGATATTGGTGAGTAAATTTATGCTTGATAATTGTAATTTAAGTTATTGAAAATGTATGCGAAATTTTTTATTATATCAGTATTTTGTTAGTTTATAATAATAGCTTATATAATCGTATTGACGGTAGATATTGAACAGTTGGCATATATAACATAACATTTGACTTTTTTAATCTGATTTGTTTTTGTTGTTGGCTTATATATATCTTTTATTATCTGATATGTTTTTGTTGTTGGCTTATATATTTTTGATACGATCTGTATTGATTTATATCTTTTAACTTATACTAATAAGTTGTTGGCTTATAAGTATTTTTTGTTGGATTATATTGTTGGCAGGTATTGAAAAAATATAATCTATTACATAATATAATTACAGTATACCTATCATCTATGTTGTTGGCTGATATACAAACTTATTTTATTGTTGGCTGATATAACTTAACATTTGGCTTATGTATCTCCTTTATTATCTAATATGTTTTTCTTGTTTGGCTTATATATTTCTCATATGATCTGTATTGCCTTAACTTATATCAATAATTTTTTGGCTTATAAGTATTTTTTGTTGCCTTATATGAGCATATTGATGGCTTATAAGTATGGGAGGACACTTCAAGCTGATGGATACAAACTTATTTGATTGTTGGCTGATATAACTTAACATTTGGCTTATGTATTTCCTTTATTATCTGATATGTTTTTCTTGTTTAGCTTATATATTTCTCATTAACTTATATTAATAATTTTTTGGCTTATATGTATTTTTTGTTGGCTTATATGAGCATATTGATGGCTGATATTACATAGAATAATTATAGTATACATATCAACTAATACATGTATTATATTCTTTATACAATACATATTATGCATTACAGATTACATATACTGTATTGCAAATTTGGGTTATTTCAAGTATGATGGTGATAAAGATATAAATTTATCTTTGGTAAAATGAATTGTTGAAGATCATCAAGATGCATTTCGTTTATACAAAGCTCATTCTAGAGTAGTTGGATTTAGTGTAAGAAAAAAGTACACTAAAAAGAAATAATGGTATATCATATGATTTTTACTTTTGCTACTCAAAGGAGGGATTTATAGATAAAAAAATACAGAAAAAGGACAAAGAAATTACATTTATTGGTGAAATGCCTTCAGAATAGGAGGACAATAAAAAATAAAAAAAGAGGAAAAAGAGATGTGTCAATGAGACTAGAACTGGCCTAGTTGTAAAGCTAATATCAAATTCAAGCAAAAAGAAAATGGAGTGCATTGTGTTATTCAACATAACACAGAACACAATCATGAGTTTGTTGGTGCAATCGAAAGGCATCATATGAAATCTGAAAGAAATATAAAGGAAGAAATAGGAAAGGTGATTGAAAAAATGATTGAAAGTGGTATAAAGCCAATGGATATCTATCAATTTTATCAAACCAGGCTGGATCAGAAGAGGCTTTAGGACACACAAAGAGAAATCTGTTGAATTATGTGACTAGATATTAAGCAGAAAGGATTGAAGGTGGAGATATACAAAGTGTTTTGGATACACTACAAGAAAGAGCAGATGCAGATTCCTCATTCTCTTATCATTTGAAATTTGGTGATTGTGATCACATTGTAAGTTATTTTTGGCGTGATTTAATGATGCTAGAAGATTACAAAGCCTTTGGAGATGTAGTTGTATTTGATACAACTTATAGGACAAATAAATATGGTTTAATTTGTGCTCCAATAGTTAGGGTAAACAAACATTAGAGAACAACTATGTTTGGTTGTGCCTTTATGACTGATGAGACAACTGCTACCTTTGAATGGGTTCTTGAAACATTCAAAAAGTCAATGAGAGGATTAGAGCCAAATACAATATTTACAGATCAAAATCAAACAATGAGTAATGCAATTGAAAAGGTAACTGTTAAGATAATTAGCTGGTTTGTTTATTTCTTTTATTAACTGATATGTTTTTGTTGTTGGATTATATATTTTTATTGTCTGATATTTTTTTTTGTTTACTTATATATTTCTAATATGTTATGTATTGCCTGATATCTCTTAACTTATATAAATAATTTGTTGGCTTATAAGTATTTTGTTGTCTTAAATGTATTTTGTTGATTTATATGTATTTTTTATTGTCTGATATCATCATAATGATAGCTTATATGATCTGATTTATTACCTTATAAGTCTTGTCTTGTATTAATAAGTAATTTTTGTTATCTTATAACATCATAAAGTTGGCTTATATGATATCATCTAATAAATGATTATATCATTAATATTTATTAACATATGATAAATAAATGCAGGTTCTACCAAATTCAAGACACAGATTATGTTTGTGGCATCTTCAAAAAAACTTTGTTTCAAGGTTTGGTCAATTGAAAAGTAATGAAGAATTCAAAAATATGTTTGACAAATATTTATATGGCTGTGATGATGATAAAGAATTTGAAGCATGTTGGATTGAAATGATTCAGAAGTATGGTTTGGAAGAAAAATCTTAGTTTGATAGATTATATGATCTTAGGGAGAAATGGTGTCCTGTGTTTAGTAAGGACATATTTTCTGCTGGAATTTTATCATCACAAAGATCAGAGGTGACAAACAGAGCTATATCTTTCAAAGCAAACAAGAAGACTGCATTGTTTGAATTCTTCCATATCTTTGAAGCAACAGTTAAAAGATGGAGAAGAAGTGAAAAAGAAGATAATTACAGAAACAAAGTAGAGAAGCCAAATACAAATTGCAAATTGTTGAAACAAGCGGCTGAAGTTTATACTTTGAATCTTTACAAAGACTTTTTAGAAGAATATGAAACAAGTATGAGATCTTATATTCTAGATTTAACTCATGAAATAATAATTGAAGGTCTAAAGATGTTTAAAGTGTCAATAAATGAAGATTTCAAGGGCAGCCATCGAGTTATTTACTATGAGAATTTGAAGGAATTTGCTTGCACCTGTTTATGTTTTAATGAAACGGGAATGATATGCTACCATATATTGAGAGTAATGCATATGCATAATGTACTTACTAATTCCATTAGTGTACATCAAGAAGAGATGGACAAAATCAGCAAAATCTTCAATTTGGGAAGACAGACAAGGTAACAACTTTGAATTATTAAATATTAAAATTACTATTAATTCAGTTTAATATGATGGCTTATATGATCTTTATTGCCTAATATCTCTTAATTATATCAATAATTTGTTGGCTTAAATGATTTCAACAGTTGGTTGATATGTTGTCTTTTAAGTATTTTTGTTGGCTTATATTAATAATATGTTGTCTTATAAGTATTTTTTGTTGGCTTATATCAATAATTTGTTGGTTATAAGTATTTTTTTGTTGGCTTATGTGACCATATTGATCATGGTTAATATGATGATATAGTTCGACAGTTGGCTGATATAAATCATCATATTGATGGTTGATATTGAAAAATTAATTTCAACAATTAGCTGATATGTTGTCTTATAAGTATTTTTGTTAGCTTATATCAATAATTTGTTGGCTTATATAAATCATTAGTTGGCTTATATCAATAATTTATTAGCTTATATGAATCATCAGTTGTCTTATATTTAATTGCCTTATATATCTTAAATTATATGATGGCTTATATGATATATCTTAACTTATATAATATACTTAGG